CCGAGTGGTCCATCCATCAAACCCATAAGGCCATGTTAGCCTTGAAAGCCCAGTCACAAAAGGATAACACTTTTGTTGCTGCAGTCTTGGATCGAAGGGCTTTCCAAAGCAAGGGAGATGGATGACGATCCATTAGAAATGGGACAGAAAGGTGATGGATGACAACCATATACAGAGGGAGAATGACCTAGGGCCAAGGATGAGTGGGATGAGGTGTGCCCAAATCTCTCTCACTCTGGTCCAAACAGTTACCAGGGTGACCATGCATCCAGTACAGGGAGGCAGGGCTGGCAAGAGTTACAGGGTATTTTAAAGATCTGGCCTCCGTGCTAACACTTTAGCTTGCTCTTCGTCGTAGTGCTAAAGGAATTTAACTACATTCATAGATATTTAAAATGGAAAACACAGCCACCTCCGAAAAGCTCCTGGGCCCAGCCTGAGGCAGCAGACATGCTAGCAGAAACAACTCCTTAAGGAGTTGGATTGGGGCAGAAACGCTCGGGACTCACCATGGAACCAAGGTGCTATCGTGTCCGCGGTTTTCTGATAGCCAGCTCGGAGAGGGAATTGTTCCTCTTTGAACCACTTGATGATGCTTTCTTCGGTGCAATTGGAGGTTGTCCTCTGGATTCCCTCTTTCCTGTTAGAAAAGACCGTGGTTTCTGCATCGAGTTCAAACAGCAGCTTTTGAGTCCTTGGCAGGACTCACCTTTTGTTCAGGATGTCAAGAACAGCGCAAAACAAAAGGCCTACACTAGCCCACCCGTCAGCAATATTGTATGGTTTTCAGTGGACACCTAGCATAAAGGATGTAGACATGCTAGGCTTAGGACGCTCTACCAAATAAACCTGTTCCCCTCCAGGAGTGAACAAATAAGCCTTATCACACCCTAGGCTGGAATATAGCCTAGGCTCTGTATTTTCCCTTGTGGGGCGTCTCCTCCACGTGAGAAGGAGAGTTAACCATTCCCATATCCACCATCCCATGCTAGAGCAGAAGAATCTCATCCCTTCCTCCACAGTGCACAGGGGTTTCCTTACCTAGTTGCTCTCCCATTTGCCGTCGCAGGAGGTAGATGTTTAGGCTTAGGGGGGAGAGGCGGATATTGGAGTGGACGCCGATCTCCTGCTGCGGCACCCTTGGAAATATTTGCCTGCTTCCGTCTGCGGATGCCCTGGAGTGAAAGCCTTCTGTAGTCATCCCTGGCTTGCTGTGCAAGGGAGCGTCTCTTCTCATCTGCTGCCTTGGATTTCCGCACTGGAACAAAAAAGGAGTTCTACAGGAGCGAACGAGCAGGCAAGTTTTAAACTTGCTGGCCTCTGGCCATCTTGCTGCTTGATGGAGTGGAAGAACAACCCATTTCACAAGGTGAAAGATGCACTCAGTTGTGAGACCATTTGCCACATCTCTCTCATCGCTTTTGGGCATCTGCTACTTAACAGGGTCTGGGTTTTATGCCTTCAAGAGATTAAAAATCTGGGTTCTTTCTGGGCACCAAATCACTTTGTACTTAAAGACTACTTAGTTTTGTTTCAGATGCTGACTCCTGGTTCAGACACAGATTTATGTAGTGCTTTTCATGTGAGCCAGCCAGGGGGAGTATATATGGAGGGGGGAATGTATATGGGGATGTATATGGAACAAAAGCAGCTGAAATGACCTCAGATCAATCCTCTGAGGAATTTGAAAGCGCCAATCATTCTCTGAGAGTGGGAGGGGAGTCTTGCTGAAATTGTTACACAAAGTGGAGAAGTTGGCTCGGTACTTTTTTTTTGTAAACTGCCTTGATTTTCTAGGTCCAGCTCATCCTGGCATCTGCAGAAGTAACAAGCTCTCCAGTCAGTCCAAGTTAGGCTAGTTCTTTCCTTGCTTTTGTAATCAACTTCAGATTGGTTTTTATCAGTAAGAAAAACAAAACCCCTGGCCTGAAGTGAAAACAATTGGTAGTACAGCATTGCCATCTACTGAACATCAGGAGAGGAAATGGAAAAATAAATGCATCAGGTTCTCGTTTGGGAAGTATTTGGCAGCAGTGATGGATGCTATTGCAAGTCTCATTCTATTTTCCTTCCCATCATTGGGATTCATTACATGCGACAGTGCAGCAGGACTCTGCCCAGGTGGGATTGTGCTTGGATGACATGGAAGCCCTTTTTAGTTAGTTCCTGTCACCCATTATACTTGTCCTCAAGAGCAATGGTTCTTTTTAGTTAGTTCCTGTCACCTATTATCCTTGTCCTCAAGAGCAATGGTTCCTGCAAAGTCCTACAAAAGGTCAGCTTCTAGTTTAAAATTAATTATCCTGGCTATACTCATGTGGTTCCTATTTGTTGCTTGTTTTAGCACAGTACCTGCAGGAAAAAATTTCCATTTCTCTGCCCAGCTCTAGTCTCAATGCTGTGTGGACTCAGAAATATTTCTGACAAAGATGCACTGTATTTCTTGGCAGTACTCTCCACCCACTGACCAATTATTCAGCTCCAGTGTGGCAGGAGAAGGACTGAGAAGACCCCATAGAGCCCTAGGATTTCTCAAGCCCCATTGGAAAAACTCATCCTAAGATCTTACAGGATTCCTGCCATTCAGGCTCATTCTCATCTGATTTCTGCAGCGTCCTCTGGCTCTCCAAGCTGGGGTGGCTCTGTGGTATTGCCTCCTGAGGGGCTGTGGTCTCTTCTTCTGAATTTCTCCTCTGTGCTTCCTTTGTCTAGGAAAGAAACAGTATTCATCTTCATCAACATCAGCTTCATCTCAGGCTAGTTTTAACCCTGCTTTTTAGCTAGCCTTGAAACACTGGGAGCTCCATTCTTTACTGTGAATCCATCTGATTTCAACAACATACAGACTCTGTCTTTACTGCACGTGACAACACAGGAAGTAAGGGAAAACAGTCTACCAGAAATCATCAGCAGCATCTCCCTGTACTGCTCCCCAGTCTGGCAGCCTGACCTGCTTTCTGTCATCTCCAAATCATCACACCATACATGAGGAGCATGGCAATGCTGGATAAAACTGGTCCAAGAGGTGAGGACGTTCTTCAGTCAGATGAGGCTCTGAGGCTGACTGGGACTCTAGGATAAAGTCTAGGCCCCATTCATTGTGTTAGGAGCATCCTAGGCTGCCACTTACCTGTTGGAAGCCATGCTTCCTCATGTGGCAGTCTGCCAACATCTGGTGAACATCTCTGGTTTCCCTCTGGGCAAAGGAAAAGAGCAGTGAGAAATAAATGCAGCGTTAGGACCATTGCTCTTTTTTGGAGAAATACGTGTTTAACGTAGAATCAGTGATGTGACATTGACAAATTTTGCCATCCTTCTCTGACAAACATTGGGGTTTTTTGATCGTATTAAGCCTAATATGCCACAGGAGGAGAACTCAGGGGTGTCAGGATTGCCATAAGTACGCCTATATTTGCTAAGTGACGCTCCCAAGTGCTCCCAGGGAGCAGTTCCTTCCCTCCCTCCCTCTAAAGCAAGCCCTAGCAGAACCTGCTGTCCACAGGTTTACCTGCCAGTGACTGTTTGCTGCTGTGGCTGGGGTGCTGCAAACCCCTGCTCATCAAACCGACCCAGCTGGCTGCATCTCTCATGTTTGCTCTTCCCTGCAAACCAGTCTAGCTACCCTGGCAGCACTCGCTAGCTGAGACCTGCCTTTGAAGACCAACAGTTCGACTTGTCTTTGAGCAAACACCCACCCGCCTCCCCACTGGACCCAAACGGCCTCCCACGGCACAGTGAGTAATGAGTTAACTGTACTACGCTGCTTACCAAGGTCACACTTTCTTTTGTCTCCATCACCTGCTTGGCTAATGTTTAATATCAACATGGCTTTCCAATTTCCTCTCCTTGACAGGAAACTAAGAACTTCAGCTTATTTTCTTAGATCAGTCCCCCGTCCCCTGCAGCAGACAAAGCACAATGCCTGGATCCCTCAGGTTAAATGGGAACTAGATCTCGGAGAAAGTACTTTAACCAGGGAGGTGAGAAAAAGCCCTTCTCCAGCCCTAGGAAATGCAACAGGGGTCTTTGGTCTGGATCCGTCCTTCTAACAGCAAAATCCCCAGAAACCTGGGAAAAATTACTAATAATATAATGACAGAAAACAAAAGTAAAATATACAACCCCCCACTATTTCCATCCACAAGACTTTGAAAGTGGTTTAGATTTTTTTTTTTTTTGTGATGGTGGGATTTTTTGCTTTTTTTTAAATTGGTTAGCTGGGACTAGTAGCTTCCTTCAAAAAGAAAAAAAAAAATCTCCTACGTAGTTGCTCAACTTCAGCAAACAGTGCTAAGAAAAACTCCGTGTGACTCAGAGGCTTTGGATAAAGGAGACAACCGCTCCAAATTCCTTTCAGTATTTCGGGAGCAGCGAGAGAGACGCTCTGCCAAAACCCAACCTTCAGCTATCGTACTTTTTATATTGAAATACGAAGTAGCTGTATAATAAAAGAACATGCACTCATGCACGTTAGCAGCAAAAGGCTGAATGAAAAATATGGAATGAGATTGGCCTTCTCCTACTAAATTGTCAAGGTGTTCTGTTCATTTCATTCAAATTTGGTTGTTAATTTAAGTGATTTTTTTCCTCAGTTCTCTGGAAATGGCTTTTTGTAGCCAGATAAAAAGTAGAAATGTATTTATTGCTGAAGAAAAATGTTTCTGTAAGGAAACACCACAGCAAAGCAGACACCGCAGTTACCGCATTTGGAGTTGTCCTGTGCTGTTAAGGTCATAAGCTATTTTCTAACTATTTTAGAAAACCAGAACAAGAAACAAGAACCTAAAATATGCATGTCAGAAGATGCTGGTAAAATTATCTTCATCTGTTCTTTATTAGAAGTAGATTATTTGTCTAATAATCTGTAGATTATTATTTGGCTGTGGCCTTGCATTTACAGATCCTGGGATAGCCTCTCCAGCCGTGCCCCAAAAGCCATCCAAACCAGCCACAGAGCAGGAGGGAAAGTACTGCAACCCTTGTTTTACCCACAGAGAATGGAAGCAAAGGAATCCAGAGCAACTTATCCCTCGGTACAGAGCAGATCCATCCAAGCTGAGAATAGTACTTGGACCTCCCAAGTCATAGAATCATAGAATCATAGAATGGTTTGGGTTGGAAGGGACCTCAAAGATCATCTAGTTCCAACCCCCCTGCCATGGGCAGGGAAACCCTCCACTACACCAGGTTGCCCAAAGCCTCATCCAACCTGGCCTTGAACACTTCCAGGGATGGGGCATCCACAACTTCTCTGGGCAAGTCCTAAGGAAGGGTGTAACAGCATGGTTTCTTCTCTGACTACAGAAGAAAAGCCTTAACTGTTAGCTGGCATTTTTTCTTCTTCAAATTTCTATTTACAGCAACCAGGATATGCTGCACTTCCTAGATCTCAAAGTACATGTTTCTGATAGTTATGGAGAAAAGGATGAAAACTACCTTCGTGAGCTCCTGGCTTTTCCCTGTTGCAGCAGTAGCAGCAGCAGTTTTTCTCCCACCTTCCTTCTTTTCCTCCACAGTGCTTTTTTTATTTCCATGAAGATCTGTCTCACCCAGGGCTCCTGGTTGTGGTTGAGGAGATGGTGTTAAAGAAGAGTCAGTCTCTCTGAAACGCAAGAGAGAGAAGACTTACGAACCCGAGGGAGTCACCTTCTGCTCTCTGCACATCCTGCCAGGAAGCTACACGTGAGCAGAGCGGTGCTGCGATGAAGCAACGTGGGTGCAGGCAGCTATCATATCTCCAGATCCGGTAGGCGGAATAACCAAATTAATGACTCGCGGTGAGTAACTGTCGTCCTGCTGTACACGGGCACCCGTCGGTGAATCAGTGCAACCCAAACTCACCAGCTGCTGCAATAACACAGTTAGCATTTCCTGTGGGCTGCGGGGGGTATCGCGCAGGAGCCATGTCACGGGAGGCTCGATGAGCCAGGCCAGACCTCAGGCTGGAGCTGGTCTCTGCCAGCATTGTCTGTACTCACAGAAAGAGAACCTTTGCCTGCAAGTTGAGCGTGACAGTGGTGACCACAGCCCCTATAGAGAAGACTCCCGCCTCCGGGTCCCAAGAAATGCCTTCTCCTCACTGTCTGCCCACCGAGTCTTCCAGCTGAAGGGTGCTTACCTGCCCTCCTTGCTTTGCTCTCTCGCTAACCGCTTTGCTCTTTGTGCCTGGATCTCTTCACAGATGGCTGCGTACGATTTATCTGAAGGATGCTCACCCATCACCCAGACCCAGACATCGTTGTCAGCGCCGAGCTTCCATGTCACCGACTTGCTGTTGGCTGGAAGAGAAGTAGCTCTTTGGCAAATGCTGCTTGCGCGGCGGCTCCGTGCAGGGCCTGTGTCGCTCCTGCTGTGCCCTCCTGGCTGCTGCCAATGGCAGAGCCTCTCCAAAAGCAGCTGTACATGGGGAAAGCTCGGCTGGGATGCAGTGTGCACCTCCCATTTCGTTTCATGGTACTGAAGCTAGGTCAATGAAGGAGGCATTTCTGAGTCTGATAGCGACGGAGAAGACTCACCACTGTTTCCTTTCTTGCTTTAATTCTTTGCCACTGCCCTCCCCAAACTGCGTGAGGATGATACCTGCAAACAGCATGTCGGGGAGAGCTGGGAGATGAGTGCTATCTTCCCAGCAGCCAGCATGCTGTGTAATCCTGGCAAGGGGACTTCAGGTCTAAAGGCACAACAGGAACCCCCCTGCAGATCTGGTGCCCCAGAACAGACGTTCAAGTCCATGGTTATTTTATAGACAGGATCAGAGGCCCCATTTAGTGGGAAACTTAATGAGATGCATCTCCTGGGGGCAAGTAAGCCCTGTTTTCCCAGCTAGGGGAGTTGAGTAATTTGGTCAAGGACAGAGTGTCTGGGCCCAGAGAGTAAAACCATTGCATTCCTGGCCAAAACTACTGCATCGCAGGTGGGTTTAGTTATGGTTTGGAAATACAACTATGATATGTCCCTGGGAGAAGAAATTACTCTAAAGACACACTACCTGCTATTTCTAGAGAGCAGCTGACTTCGCCAGATCTGTGCCAGAGGGGAAAGCAGCTGGCAGGCAGAGACTTACCTTTTCTTGGCAGTGGCTTCTTTACTGAAGCCTTGTCCACAGCAGCTTCTCTTTCCTCCCACCGTCTGATCTGTTCCTGCCTCATCTTGAAGAAGAGAATCTGCTTCTGCTCCTCACTGAGTTCTGCAAGCAGGTCAGGATCGATGTACATGTCCGATAGTATCTGTTTCAGCATGGCTGCAGGTTTCAGTTACACACGTTTGTGGCGATGATCTCCAGGGATCAGATCCTCTTCCTGGCTGCGACAAGAAGGAGTACCTCCCCACCTGAGCCTGGAGCAGAAACGCAGGCGTGCCAGAGTAATTATACTTCTGTCTTTTTTTTTAGCTCAGACTTCCTGCACAGACCAAAAAGTAAATAAGTAGCTTAAAACCTGCTGTTAAGATTCCTTGAAACAGGAGGTGAGCTCAGCTCCCACGCAGTTCCTACCCACTCTGCACGGAGTGCTGGCCAGAAGGGACCAGTCCTGGAGTGGGGAGGTTGTGTTGATACTCTGATAAACCCAGCTGATAGTATATCAAAAGAGAGAGCACTGCCAGTTACAGTCATCAGAGGTGTGGCTTGGCTGTGCCCAAGCAAACATTGCAGGGAATCAATGAACCCATGACTAGACAGCTCCTCCTCCTTCCAAAGAGGAAAACTTTGATGTTCAAAACCCCAGCCTGTCTCATTTCACCAAAGCTTTTAGCTCTGCCTTTGAGGTAGAAGTGGGAATTTTGAGGTGTTCCTGTCCATCAAAGGCAGCCTCACAGCAAGTCAAGGGAGTGCAAGTAGTGCAGCTGATTCGAAGAAAGACAGCTTGGATGGTCAGCAGCTGAGCAGCTGAGGCAGCTCCGGGTATGACACATCTTGCTGATGCACCTTGCCCACGTGGTGAAACTGGCATGGGACATCGCTGTCTGCCAGGATGAAGTGGATGGGGAGAAGGAGCACCCCTGTTCCTGCCTGGGATGCTGTTTTTTTTTCGTGCACGCCAGCAAAGAACTAACACCCACCAGCTATGCTTTGTGCCCGTGGATTTACATTTACTGCAGGGGTTTCACTGAAAAATTGGGAGCTCTCCTGTCACTTGGGAAGGCGCCAAATGAGAAAATAGAAATGAGGACTTAAGACCTTGAAACTAACTCTTTTCCTTATCTTATCTGGATAAACTCAGAGAGATCAGAAGGTTGGTTGGCAGCGCTTTTGGTGACACAGAGAGGCTGAGGCTGACGGCCACGTTTGAAGTGCAACGCCACAGCAGGGTGACGGGCTGGCCAGGGGCAGCAGGGGCTTTCTGAACAAACTCTTGGGAAATGTTGCCAGCAGGCTACAGCGAAATGAAGGTACTGAGAGTATTCATGTGCTTCTGCACAAATCCTGACAGTCTAAGGAACAAGCATGCTAGGACATAGCACCGTAGGTGGGACGAAGGGAGTTGGTGGCGCAGTAATGGGGAGGTACAAAGGGCACAGACATGGCAGAAGGACCTGTGCCAGGTTGAAGTGGGCGTATATATTAAATCCTGGAGTCAAACCAATTAACCATCTTACAGCAGAGGAGCTGGATCCCTGAGGACCCAATTGTTGGAAGAATAGTGTTGGAAACACCTTCAGCTTCAGAGTATGACTGCTTGGCTTCTGCCAAATAAAATAAGAGAGAAGGAGGTGGGAGAGGAGCCAGCAAGCGCAATACTGAAGCTTTCCAAGGAGCACATACAGAGCACATTCATTAGTTGAAATGGGACACAACAGCAACCTTCATAAAGTCAGACTGGCAGGACAAAACCTACTGCGTTGGTCCACCTTCCCCCATCTGACCCCTGTGTTTGGATCAGGCAGGCTGTCCCAAGCATCGCCCCACTTCTGAACATGGCTTACCCTAAAACTGCTGGAGACAGAGCAGGCTGGAGCCCCAGTGCAGTGAAGTTCAGGGAGAACTTGAACTTCACTTTCAGCAGAGAGAGCTTGAAAGGAGCTTGGAGCAGCTGGAGGAGCTATAGGAAGACAAGGAGCTCCTCAAAGACCGCAAGGCATGGAAAGACCAGACCACGGTCCCAGCATAGCATTAACTGCAGCAGAGGCTGGGAGCAGGAGTCCCCAGGAAGGTGCAGTGACCAGGAGTTGGGGATGGGCCTTCTCGTTTCTGGTTACTTTATATTTTCCTTGTTTAAAATGTTAACTTAATTCCAGAAGCATGGAGCTGCTGTTCCAGATCTGTATTGCTTTTGTTTAAACAAATGGCTTTCCTGATGTAAAAAAAAAAAAAAAAAGAAAGGCTTTTGGGGAGGGGGTATCAACTGGCCAATGCTTTATGAGTATCCCCCAATAACAGAATTGTTCCAGCTGAGCCACCCGCTTGGGCTGTCCTCAAGCCATGGGGGGTGGCAGCTGTAGAGAGGGAAGAGATTTTTATGGGGAAGGTGCTGGTGAGCAGTCCCTCATCCCTTGGCGTGCCTGAACTGTCTGTTAAACTGCACAACTGAGGGACACTGCTGGAGGATTGCTGTTAAGCTTCACTCCTAAGCAGTACCTGAAGGAGAAGCTGTTTGCAAACAGATCAGGGTGTCAGAAAAGCGTCTTCAAACAGAAATGGGTTCTTTAAGCTTTTAGTTGTGTTTTTTAAGATCAGTTCAACACAGGACAGTACAAGAGACACAAATTTTTGGGCTCATTTTAGGAAAATGAATGTCTTGAGAAGGTATTTGATGTTGCTCTGATTTTAGGGGACACGACAATTTCTTTGTCTGAGCCCAAGGTGGGTTTTGTTTAGAGAAACCACCAGAGTTGCATTCTTTGTGGATCTGAAACAGTAACTGAAGTGGATGGTAGTTCTGGGCATGGTCTGAGCTTGATGGTCTGGCTGAGATGCCTTCCACGGGCCGACAGAAATTAATCACGATGTCTAAAATTGAAGTGGCTTTTATCCAAAGAGACTTGTTGTATGTGGGGAGGTGAAACACTTCCGTTCCTTTCGGGTGAGAAGGTATAATCGGTGGTTTCCGTGAGCCAAATGCTAAGTGGTTTTGTTAAATAGAAGGTGCTCAATAACTTGCCTGGGGGAAAAATGGCCAGCCAGCTGGTCAGGCTCTGTCTTCTGGCTCTGGATCAGCAGAATTACTTTCTCCCCAGCAACTTCAGGATAGTCGCAGTTCACTAGCCAGAGCAGTGCTTGGAAAAGCGGACGGCCAAAAGTTGTCCTGTAAGGATGTCCTTGCTACAGCTGAGCAGAGGCTGTGTGCGGCCCTGGCTGGCAGGAACGGCTGGAACTGGCTGGAAGTACAGATCATGAGCTTGAGTCCTGCACTCTGCCTCTTCATACAGTGGTGAGTGGTTTGAATTCACCTCACTCACGTCAGCCCTCCTCCTCCTTCCCCCTTGGCTGCACAGGAGGTATTGGACATGGCCCAGAGGGGTTTACGTTGCAGAGTTAAAATTTGCAGTGAGCAAAGCTGTGGTGGTTAAGCAGTGTTTCTTTCCCCATCTCTCCCAGTATCACCTCTTGGTGCTTTAGACGCCCTTCCACACTCTGTCTGGGATATGCTTCTGTCTTTGAAGGTTCCTTCTTATATCTTCTGTATCCAACCTGACTCCTTCTGCCTGTCCGGGTTATGTTTTCCCCAAAATACTTGGTAGACAGAGATTGTTTGTAATGACTGCAAGTCTTTTCCTTAGTTAAATTAGACTTCCTGGGACATGATGCATGAGAAGCCATCAGCAGAACATCTGCAGCACATCCATGCTGCTCTGACTTCTCAGGAGTGGGAACAACTTTGCTATGGCATTTACTTAGGAGGACATGATGTCCTCTGCCATATGTGGTGGTGCCAAACTGGTCCCTCTTTCCACACCTGGGGACATAGCGTGCTGGCGAGGAGGAAGGGCGCTCAGCAAACAGTTTTCACGATATTGATGCAGTGTTGCAGAGTTGGGTCTCCTTGTGATGTTGGTTGTTAAGAAGAAATTTATAATGCTGTGTCCCGAAGGTACCCTTTAAAGCACCAGCTCTTTTAACACTGGGAAATCACATAAGCATTTGGAGAGGTTTGCGGTATTTCTTTTTTAGCAGTCACTTAATTAAAGATCTTAGGAGCTGGAAGTCCTTGTAATATCAGTCATATGCTGTTCTCAAAGCTTGAATGAAAGCCAGATTACCGACACTTGGCCAGAAGCGTTTTTGCTGATGCTGTTCCAGCTGTAAGTAGCATATTTACAGCTCAAACTTAGGGAAGCCAAGGACTGCAGCAATGGCAGTGGGACCTCTGAGCAGGTAACTTGTAGGAAAACTCTGGTAGAGGTCTTGTTAAACTTTCTACTGCTTGTATTTTTTCATGGGAGTGGTAGATAGGAGCTGGTTTTGTGGAGGAATAGGAGACGAGAGTAGCCAAAAAAAGCTAAAATGAAGTGGGGGGAAGTAGAAAGTCAAAACAGGGCTTTTCGGGCCCTACCACTCATGTACAAGATAGTTGACTTGAGAGTCATAAGGGTAAGTGCAATTTAAAGGTTAAATGACTCTTCAAAAAGCAAGGTCACCCAGCATTTTAGTCATCTGCCAGAGAGCAGCCTCTTTTCTGTGCTCCTGTAAATCATCTACCATTAACAGGGGAAACATGAGTCCATAAATACACATAAAAGCGCAATCGCTTTGAGAAGAGCTGGCATGAGTTCCTGCCCACATCTGCAGCGAGTGACACTTTGGCCACCGACAAGCTCACAGGACACCCCCATCTGGCATCTTAGTCCTGGTCCTCACCATCAATGGAAAGGTGAGGCAACAGAGTGGAGGGAAAGGTTCTCCAAGAAAATGATAGACAAGCATACACAGATAGGTGTTTGATATGATTTACACCAATAAATCAACTAGGAGGGTGTAAAATGAAATAGTGGACAAGTTGAATGGTGATTCTTGTGCTGATTTTCTGGGAGGTGGCTTCTTCAAAATATGACAGTAACTTTAAACTAAAAATAACCCAAGACACTCAAAGATGAGAAGAGAAGAGAACACAAGAAAAGCTGCTTCAGGGTACAGCCTGAAGAGCTAAGAGCATTTCCATTGTCACGATGTAGCTTTTCCCCTAAGAAGCAGATTAGACCAAGTTGTTCGGAAAATGGTGGGACTACATTGCTTTGAATCAAGAACTTCTCCTTGGAGCTGGTCTTCTGCTCAGCAACAGGTGGCTGCAGAGGCACCACCAGGAATTATTTTCCTTGGCCAAGAGGAAGGACCATGAAAGTGCAACTGAA